CTGTCCTCGGGGAACGTGGCTTGACCGGCAATCCACTTCTCAAGAATAGCCTTGGTGTCTCTCTCCACGTCAACGACGTAGTATTGCCATAGCTTCAGCTTGTCGATAACGTGTTCCCTAACGCCGCTCATCACCTTCAACAAATCGCCCTCGCTGTCGAATTTAGTTGGCAAGCCATAGGAACTGAGTTCCTTGCCAAATTTGAGCAGAGCCGTGTCGAGCTCGAGAGCCGGGCGCAGATGTGGTGCCGTGTCAACATTGTAACCAGCCTCTGGGTGCTCCTCAAGCCACTTGCTGTTGTTCGCCGTGTGGTTCCAGACAACATCGGTCATGGCCAGCATGTTGAGCTCGGTGTGCATCTTCTTTACCATGTCTGCGACGTCCTTCTCGCCATTGGGGAACATGGCGTTGTCGAACTTTAGTTGATCGTATATGCTGTACGGCGAGTTGGAGACACCTCTTATCATGAGTGGAGTAAAATGCACCATGTTGTAGCCGCGCTGACTGATGCCGCGCAGATGGTTGTCCCAGTCCGTCGGATACTCGCCCATGAATTTGGAGAGAGTGGAGAAGACGGTGACACCCTCGACAGGAAGCTGCTTATCCTGCAGTGTCAATCGTGGGCAGACGTCGATGTAGTGCGTGGGGGTTCGCGTAGGTTCCGGCGACGCGACGTCGGTGAAGGACCATTGCGGAAGCGGCGTGTAGGTTGTGTAGAATGAGTATGCATTGGCCTCGTGGATGGGTACATCAATCTCCGTGATACCGTTGAAGTCTGGCTTGAGCCTGAAGATGTGTTAGGAAGATGTCTTGGTGGGGATCCCATACTCGATTGACTCACTTGAATTCGCGGTAACGGCTGCGCTCGAACTTCTCGCCCTTGGCCGGTATATTGACCCAGAGACTACCTTTGCGGCATATTGAGCTTGTGCCCTGGATCTGGAAGCGACAGCAGTATGCAGGCTCAGTGGGAGGCGGCAGGTAGATGTACGATCCCGGCACGTCTGGAGCTCCAGAGTCGGTCAATGGGAGGAGGTACACCGTTTGCGCCGGTGCCGAGGGCTCTGTTGTGTCGGCCATTTTGCTAGCGAGCGGATTTGGTTATGCTATAGGCTGGCGAGGTAAACAAAGGCAAAATATGCAATAGGTATCCTGCAATGCGACGGTAAAAGAGGTAGTGATGAGGATGAGGGTGTTGCAGCGCGAATGCAGGCAATGGCAGGCCAATTGAGGTTTTAAGTAGCCAACAGCGCAGTCTGAGGGACGTTGCCCTCCGCGAAGCAAAATGTAGCAAGAAGTGACTGCGTGTTTGATCGGCAGAGGAAGTCGCGAAGCCTGCGCGAAGCCTGACAGGAACGCTCGTGCCAGACGTCATCGCCTTCGTCTAGAACGCCGGGTTGACTTCGGGGTTTAGCTGCGTGGGGTTAGCTGCCCAGGGGGAAACGACCTCGAGTCATGTTGTGATCTCGATGTCAGTCAGCTCGTGATTCAAGATAACAGACCTCTCGAAATTCGGTCATATTCTACACGATGAATCGATTTAGTGCTGAGTCGAGGACTTTGTGTAGAGCAGCTCCTCCTACTGGATGACAATGCACCTTCCATCTCTCTTGCAAGCACGATATGGGCGATAACGGCAATACACCTTCCAGCGCTCTCTCGCAGGCCAGAGCAGCGTCAAAACAAATACCCTCACTTGGTCTCCTATCAATTGAGAGCCGCAAGAATGCCTGGATGACTTCTTAGCTCGCTCATTGGAACCATCACTTTCTGTGCAACATCCACCACCACAAGTTCCACTCCACACCACAGCCTTTACACTACGAGAAGTACAATACGCCACAAGCACCACACGTCAAGCACTACACATCAAAATCAAACATCAAGGGCTTGCCAAGCACTCGCCATCAAGCCTGCAATGAGCCCAATCTCAGTCCGTATACGACAGAATCACAACAACGTGCCCGACAGCCGACGTCCGCCGGCGGAAACCATGGACATGAAGGTCGCGCATTGGCATGCAGCGGAATACCTCAGCGGCGAGATCACGGAGTGGTTGGATGCACACCAGCGTGATGCACCCGCACCCGCGCCCCAGTTCGAGCTCCCACCGCTGAAGTGGTTCGAACCTAGCTATAAGGGCGTCCGATTCACCACCTTCATCGCCCATCATTTCCGCGTCATCAATGAACAGTTCAAGCACAATCCGTACGGGCTCGGTGCGGGTTGGTTCTGGGTTGTCATGGCTGCTGCGTTCTCCTTCATCTTTGGACATATCACGATCGGTGCTCTGGAAGCTATCGGGTTAGGTGGAGTCATCGGACGTAACAACGGCGATTTCATAATCAAAGTATTGGTGCCGGTACTAAGAGGGGCGTTGAATGGTCTTCCTGTTGTCTGGATGCTTATTGCGTTCTGCTTCCCAGCCCTCATTGCCAATCTCCAGGATCAGTTCTACGCACTGGGCCTTGATGTTGAGTTATGAAAGAGAGGTGGCGAGAGGACACGATGTAAAGTAGTATTTTCAATCCAAGATCTAACATCTTCCGAGGCTGCAACAAATTCTCATTGTGCCTGCGATTCGATGCGTGTATCAAGTGGCACGGCACAATATTACCCATCCCGACTTTGCACACCAAAGCGTCGATCAGCGTATCGCTTTACATGACCTATTCTATACCTCTTCGCTATCTGCAGACTGATGTCTTGACTGGCTCCAACACAAGGCTACAAAGTCTAGACGATACGCCTCTACCGTCCTCGTTCCACTGCCGCCTCGGCGGACCGAGTATCAGTTAAATGCCAGTGGACTTTGCTGTCCACCAATACCCCAATTCAATAAAACAACAATACGGTCGAACGATAAATGTATGATAAGCGTTGATTCAATCTCATCCTAAATACCCCAACTCACAAACCGTAACATCTTCCACGAAATGCTTCTCCCTATATGTTCTTGTCCACCACAAATACCACGGCACGACGTTCATCTTAATCCGATGGCCCTGTACAAAGTCAGCTTTGTCTCAACTACAATTTGTACATGATGAACTCACCCACCACGGCGTGTCCTGCACCGTCTTTACCACACTCTGACTCTCATCCCACGCTGTATCGATCCGTCCCCGCCTCAACTTCTCATATGCATCGAACGCCTCTCTAACCGGCACACCTTTCTGTCTCTGTCCTTCCATCCACTTTGCTAAACACCGCGCGAATAACACACCGTCTTCGAATACGATGCCCGTACTTTCACCTTGAGGTGGCTGTTTGACAGTCAGCTTTATTTTTGATGCCCACTTGCCACTGAGTATGATATACGTACCATGGCGTGCGCCGAGTCGCCAATAAGCATGACTCTGTCCGTAGCCCATTTGCCAGCTTTGGAGAGTGTGAAGACAGGCCAGAGATAGAGATCCTGTGCGTCTTGGATGACATGTTCGATCAATGGGTTTGCCGCGCCGCTATATCTTTCCAACATGTCTTTCCGTATGTTCTCCGCGTCTGCGCCAGCCGCTTTCCAGCCATTGCTCGAGGCAATCTCCGGGACCTGCATCAACGCACCCACATATATACTGTCTTTCTTCTCATCGTGAAAACTCGTAAGCAACATCCCTCTCCGTCCAAAGTTCATACCCGACGTCTGAAAATGCGTTTCCTCATACGCCCCGTCACTCCCTCTCCGTCTCGGCGCGAATCCAAATGCATTACAGATCCCACTATACATACTCTTCCGCTCAGGCTCAACATGCATCAATCTCGCAACGCTGTGAATCCCATCACACCCAATCAGCACATCGCCCTCCACCGTGCCACCGTCCTCAAACTTCAGCGTAACCCTGTCTTCCGTCTCGTCAATATGCACCGTCTTCTTCCCACACACAACCTCGATGTTCGAATGCTTCTTCACAGCAGCCAACACGCCCTTGAGCGCCTCTCCGCGCGTAATCCTCAGCGCCCGGAACGGCGGCTCACCCAGTCCGTCACCCTGAGGGCCGCGGAAACTACTCTCGGCGATCTTCGCGTTGGAATAGAGATCGAAAACCTCGACGGCGGCACAGTCGGCGCCGTATTTGCGCGCGCGAATCTCGTCGAGCGCACCGAGATGTGCAAGTAGCCGCAAGGCGTTGGGCGTCAAGTTGACTGCGCCGCCGATGGTGGCGGGCTCGGGGCGGATTTCATAGATGGTGATTGCGGGGATGGAGTCTCGGGGTGCGAATTTGGTGAGGGAGAGGGCGGTTATGAGGCCTGCGATGCCGCCGCCGAGGATGAGAACGTTGAGGGGTTTGGGAGGGGACATTTTGGGTATACGATTGAAGATGAAAATGAACAAGAAGATAGAGAAGTAGTGGGTACTGCTCAGAGTCTTTTATACGTCAAAATTCCCTGGGTTTTCATGAAGGGTTGTCAAGTGACATCTGAATAGTCGGTTGCACTGGGTCGTGAATGATCTGCATAACGAGATTGAATGCATATAAATCCCCACTACCCCACGCCGTGGTCTTACATCCTTTCCGGTGTGCGACTACACTGACCTCATCGAAGCGGTAGGAATGCAACTAGTACGCTGTTGTGAAGTGTCTTTCGGGTAATCAGTCGGGGAACCGATGTAGCTTGCGTAGTGGAACGTCAAGCCCGATTGCAGGATGGTGGCACCACTTTTCTAACTCAGCAAATACGTGTAGAATATGTAATAAGACTACGGCTTTTGCGGAGCTAATAACGTTTGTAATATGTGTGTTAACATGTTCTGTACTTGAATCATTGGTGGTGTTGATGAGCAGAGGTGTGAGGTCGGATTTGAGGAGTTAGCGCGGAACCAAGTCAGCAAAACCAGTGGAGTCCAAGAGCTTTCAAAAATGATTTCGATGTATCAAGGAAAGTATGTTACTCAATGAGAAGGAGACTACCGACAGATTGTGGGCATAGGTGCAGGCTGAGGATCAGAATCTCAACTTCACAGCCACCGTAATTCATCAATCTTCCATCCAATCAGATCTGGCTCGGTGGTGTAGTTGGTTATCACGTCAGTCTAACAAGGCACTTGTCTTCGAACACTGAAGGTCGGGAGTTCGAGCCTCCCTTGAGTCAAAGTAGTTTCTTTTTGAAGGCTTGATGCCACCTCGGCTGAGTCATAAGAGCCGTCGCTGGCTTCTCTTTTTATTATTTTTTGTGTCTTGTGGTGGTCGTGGGTCTAGAGAGGGGCGTGGTGGACTTAAGCGCATTGCAACACCATTTTTTTCATGGGCAAAGGTGGGGCACTATCCCTTGGTTGGACTATCGTAGTACTTGCTCACAAACCATCCTATTCGTCTTCCATGTCAGCCCAGCGTCCAGTACCTGGCGTCGTGGGAATAGCAGCTTCATCAGCTGAGCCCTCTACAGCGACTGTGCTGCGAGGTTGCGATGCTGCACCTTCTTCGTTCTCGCTCATAACCGCGCTGTTTGCACCACTCGCCTTTTCCTTCTCCTCTTCCTGTTCCTCTGCTGCTTCCCAGTCCTCTGCTACTTCGACAGGCTTCTCTTTCTTCTTCCTCGTACTGCTCAGACTAAGAACAGCAAAGCCACCCTTGTTGCCAAAGGTTGTGCCACGGGCAGCTTGACGGAGTGGTGCACTCTTTGTAGCTGCTACAGTACTCCATCCAGATCCAGGACCAACGTCTGACTCCTTACGCAAGATGTTGAGGGACGAGTCGAGGCGTGCCAGCTGGATTTTACCAAGCTTCTGACCAGTGATCGCTTGTGCGAGAGGCTCTTGAATAGATTCAAGCAGCTTCTGCATCTCTCGCTCCTCCATACTGAGGCGGGCGACTAGCGGCGGCTTGAGCGCGACTGCTTCACTCGGTAAGAAGTGGACCTCCAGCTCGAGACGGAATGATGTCTTCGATAACACACCCTTGACCACGTTGTTCACCTCTTCAATTGTCAAGGCAAAACGTGTGTTCGTGACAAGGAATGCGTTATAGGGATCGCCTACTGTATTGCTGGGCTTTGGTCGTAGTGTAGCCGTAGCTGCTGGCGCAGGCACTGGGCGCTGGATCTGTCGCGTTCGCGCGCATTCTGCGAGAGTCTTCATTGGTGCCATGACGAACTTGGGAGTTTTGAAAATGGCAACATGCCGGTGTGGCTCTGGGTCCATGCTCTCGGTGTCGAAGCCAAAGTCCTCTCCCAGCGAATGCACAAACGCTCGCTGGTGGCGCTGCATTGGCTTGAATCGGAAACGCTTCGCTTCCGCATCAGCAGCGAATATCCTCAATTGCTTCTCCTGCGCAGCGGCCCAAGTAGAATTCTGCTGATACATGTTCAGGGTGTCGGCAGAATATGGGACATGATCGGTCTGATGCTCGGGATCCACATTAAGGGCCAGAGCCAGCTTGTGGTTTCGCTCCAAGCGTGCACACTCTTCGTCACACTTCAATGTCTTCTTGGTGTTGCCATCTCCGTGCTTCGACGCCGCACACTTGGATTCCTGCTTGATCCGCTGACAATCGCACGTAACGAGAATCTTGTGCTGGCAGGGTTTGTCTTCCCTGCAGACAGAAGGGAAGTGACATGGTGACATGCACGGGTGGTTACAGACACTTAGCTCTTTGCCACAGGGTTGTCGACAAGGCTCTTCGCACTCCCCTGGCCGATGACATTGCTTCTGGCATTTGTGGGCACCGCACTTAAGGGTCTTTCCACAAATGTCTCCGCAACGGACATCAGAAAGCCAACATGGTTGATTCTTGAGGACATTCTTGCCACACAAGCAGGATTTTGTGGTCAAGAATGGACACTTCGGACAAGTCTCCTCGTCGCCATGGCAGTTGTGGGCCATTTGAGGGTGTCCACAGTCTTTGGGACGCTCACATGCAAAGCGGCATGGAGGTGGCTTCGTTCCGCAGGGAAGTGGGGGCTGCAATACAGTTCGACCGCAGTGACAGCTGAGTTCGTCGAAGATGGCTTCCCTGCATGACCCGCAAGCACCTTTGTGGCAGAGCTCCTGACATCGGTGTTCGGGGTTACCGCACTTCAGCTGTCGACCACAACTGCGAGTGCATATGTGTTCAGCCTCAAAGTTGTCGCCAGGTCGGCGAGGCGCTGCGTCCAATGGTCTGGCTTTGCGACGGCTGGACTGACGTTCTGCAGCTTTACGCTCTCCAGCACAGCATCGCTCACCGCATTCGTGACGTCCACAGTTCAGAGATACTCGGCAAATGCGCATGCACTGGGGCGGCTCCTCGGTGCCTTGGTGGCATATCGTGGTGGACGTGGTGCGACTACATCTACAGGAGATGGTCACCCTCTTGAAGCAAGGCGAACACTCTCCCTGGTGGCATAGCTGCTCACATTCATGTCCACAATCTAATGTTTTGTGACATGCCTTTGTGCAGTTCGGGATCGGATCTTCGCATGTGGTTCGGGTGGCATTCGCGATCTGATTGAGTAGGGTTTTGCCACAAGGGCAGTGGGTTACGACGTCAGGGGAACGAGGACAGTGCTGCGACTGCGCGACTTGTTGATGGCAAGACTTCTCGCAAATGTGCTTGCCGCAGTCGAAAGGTCGACTGCACGCGTTCGGACAGGTAAATGTACCAACCCATTCCTCCATAGCAACAGTGCCATCAGATGCAGTATGGGCTTGCCTGCTTTGCTTCTCGTCTGATCTGTCACGACACAGAATATCTTTCTGTATCTGACCACAATAGCACCGCGCCGGTACGCGTACTTCGCAGGCACCGCAAGGACCATCATGACACGGCCGTGAGCAGCGATGCTGTCCACAAGCCATCAGCTCACCACAGACTTCTCCACAAGTCCAGCCGTGTTCATAGTCAGTGTTCACGCAGCGTCGTGTGACTGTCTTCTTGCCGCAGAAGCATGGTTTCGTAGGGCCCATCAGACCGCAGGGCGGGCAGGGACCAGCATGGCAGGTAACTGGACAAGGATGTGGACAGCTCTTTGGTAGAACTCGAGGTCGAGCACATGTCTGTCCGCACGAGAAGGGTGGTAAACCGGGTAGTGCCTTAGGATCGAGCTCCTTCTCGCACCAACAATGGAAGTTCTTGGGCAGAACATCCTTGGGTAGATTGCATCCTGGACAGCGCCATTGCCTTGGAGGTGGCATCTCACCGTCCTCTGCCTGCTGACGAGCAGCAGCGGAACCTTCGTTGGTCGACCATTTCTTGATGCAACCAAGATGGAAGACGGTCCAGCACGTTCGGCAGGACCAGACGCCGCGCGAATGCCTCCTCACTTCTTCCGTGCAAATAGCGCACTCGTAGTGTCCGTTGTCAATGTCTTCATGTGTCCTTGTCGCGATATCTGGCGCGTTCGACTTGGGTGCTTGAGGTTTCTTCTCGCGCGGCGGGCGTTGTTTGCGTGGAGCAATTGGCTGGCCGGGTTGAAAAGTAGGAGCGTCTGCTTGCAATTCTGAAGATGCTTGAAAGCTTGCCTCGGAAGACCCGTCCTCGGCGGTCAATTGTCCACCAAATTGGCGCCCGCCAGTGGCCATGCGCGGGCCAAACCTCGGTCCTCTGCCACGAGCTCGCCCACCTCTACCTCCTCGACCTGATGCAGGTGCTGTGTCTTGGTTTGTGACTTCTGCTTGTGGTGCTGCAGGTCTGGCTGTGTCGTTGTGTCCTCCTCTTCCACGCCCACGCCCACTGCGTCCGCCTCTTTGTGAGGGAATCTGTGCCTGTCCGTCCTCTTGCTGGTCTGATGGGTTGTTGGGGTTTCGGCGAGGCCGCCTTCGCCGCTGTGTGCCTCTCGTTGCATCGCTGGAAGCTGCAGCTGGGGGCGGCGCCGTAGCTGGGGCCGACATGGTGGGCGTTCGAGTGTTCGCTGTGTCGTTCGTACTGGCGAGAATGGTGGCGCAAATATCTACTGAAAATGTGGAAGGTACTTTTGTTGAAATCAGGCGCTGGATATTGTACGGCCTGCTGAACGTGAAGAAAATGCAGTGAAGCGAAAGCAGTGGTGCGCGATGTTTGTGGTAAGTGACAGTGACAATGACAGTGGCAAGCTGATATATTGCGCTGCAGTTGCGATTGCAGTCAGTGGAGCTCGCTAGCGCGCCTGCAGCTACCCGAAGATGATGTTAGATGAGTCACTTCTAGCCCGTACAAGGCGTCGAGGCACCGCACAAAATGCAGTGGCGCAGTCTGCCTTCATGCTGCGCTTCTGACTGTTCGAAATTCCCTCGCGGGCGGACCAGCGCGTCATAGGGTCCGGCCGGCTGAACTTCGGTTCGACAGGCAGGCATCGCCGCAACACCAGAGCTCCGGCTTGCGTGCATCACGACTATCAGCCATCACCCGCTATCACGACAAGATGGTGAAGACATTGGTCAGCGCCCTCGCCCTGGCAGCGCTACCCTCAGCGCTCGCCTTCCACAACACCTCGCCCTTTTTCCTCTTCTCCACCGCAGAGTAGGTGTCCAGCAGCTCGCCTTCCTCTGTCCAAGCTAACGCCTGCAGCTTGAATCTTCCAAACACAGACGCAACCGTCGCAAAGTCATCACAAACCACAGCCGACGTCCTCGAAGCGCTCAAGGACTGCCCGACCAAATCGTATGTGGTCATTGAACAGCGCGGAGTCTCCGCCGCCGATTACGTCGATGGCCGCAACACACCTGTGCTTGGTGGATACATGGGTGGAAAGCAAATCGCTGTAACGACCACTTTTGCCGTACCAGATGTTGTTGGCGAGGTTGACAGCAAGGCCATCATGTCGCATCTGAGGTCGAAATGTGGACACAAAGCAGAGATGAGCGTTTTCGCAGCGCCTGGTGCTGAGCGGGCAGAAAGGGTGAACAGCTTGCAGAGTGCTGGTATGTCGGATCTTCACACAACTTCTGCGTGAATGCTGACTTGTAAAGATGATTCCATTGACGAGCTGCTCGCGCAGTCCGAGGATTACACCGTCATTTACATCACCACTCCAGTAGATGAGCGCGTCGCCAAAGCACAGCTTGAGGACCAGCACCCCCCCTACGAGATGGAGAACGCCTTTGGAGAGTACGAGCAATTCGAGTTGAAGCGCGACCTCTCTTCACACGTCAAGCGCGCAAACGCGACCGCTGGCGGCCTTTTCGAGAGATACCAGTT